ATCTGGCAACAGATCGCCCACAGACGAGCAGTCCAAAAGAGCGAACTTGTTGCAAGCGGTGAACTCTTCGTTGTCCCGTGAAGTACAGTGAAACTTGTATTCATAGGACGAGCCGGCGCTAGGCTTCTTGATGAAGTATTCGACCCCGTGCAAGTCCGAGTCTGGTGCATCCATGAGCAGTGTCTCTGAATCTTCCTGAACTGGATGACTTTCCTGAACAAGGTCTTTCACGAGCTGCTTCACCATCAGAGCCGGAACTGACGAGCGGTTCCGTGTATACTTCAGGACGAGTGGTCCTGGGTTTTTCCAGTTCGCCTGGAGCCCAATCTCTTCAGTTGTTCTTCCCGCATGAACAGCGGCATCTAACAGCGTCACCCTACATGAATGCATGGTGAACTTAGAGATGCTAGTTGCACAACGAGACTGAGTAGTCTTGTCGAGGTGAGACGAACCGTCCACAGCTTTCCGGCTCAAAAACTTCATCCACTGCAACGATCGTGTGAGAGAAGGAGGCTCCATTCTGAAAGTCTGCTGTGTATTCAGCTCAGGCATCCAAAAGTCACGATCGGTTTCAAGGTGGGATTGAAAAAGAGCCCAATGAGTTTTGAACCATGAGGCGTCTCGGAACCCGACTTTCGGAACGAGTCCCTACCTTCTTTCTTTCCACTTTTGTCTGCCAAGCCACTCCGAACAGGCCTTTATCTGCGAGATGCAGTTCACGCGGCTTCACATGGATCCCGTCATCGAAACGCAATGAAGCGAAAATCAAACATAAGACCCACCACATGAAAAGCCTGGCCGCTTCGGGGTTGGCCCGTGACACCACAAACTCCTCCACCTCACCAACCACCTCGAGCGGAAAGGGGATAGCCTCTTTGAGGGTCTTTGCACGATCGCTCATCACCGATGCCTGAAGCGCCTGAAACTGATGGGCCTCGAAGTCCGGGGAGTCGATCGCGAGTCGCGCGCAGACCCACTTCACTGCAGCTCGAAGGGTTGGGAGAACGGAAGGTCCACAAAAACGATCGTTCAAAAATAAACAATACTTCAAGATCTTGTCCATGGTCAGGGGGTAGAGAGGCACGTCCAAAGCCCCAAACCACCTTTCCAGACGCTCGAACGTCTTGACGTGACCAGCCATAGTCCTGTGAGCTCCAGAAACTGGAACAAGATTCCTGAGCTGCATCTTTTCTCCCTGAGAAAGGTTGGGGCCGAGTTGGGCGTCCTCAAACAAGCGAGCATGGTGCCCTGCTCTCTCCCCGATCGCCTCCAGCCTAACAGCCCACCTCTTCTTCTCCGACTTCTCTTTGTCGAGCAGTGGAGTTGAAGAACTTGAGGAACTCTCAACCGTAGCCTTGGATCGTTTCGGCTGAGCGAACGGCTTGGCTGTGAGGTAGGCGATCGCCGCCCGCTTCTTGAGGGAGGCCGAAGGGTCCACTGAAGGAGTGCTCGAAGATTTCTCACAAAGACCAAACCCTAGCTGAACAGCTGTAGATTCAAAGTAGGCTTTCTCCACAGAGATCGAGAGGGTCCGGAACTGTTCTAGCATGAGCTCACGTCCTTGGAACACTTTCGAAACGCTCTCCTCGAACGATCCTGCCAAATCGAACACCTTCTGGGCGAACTGAGTCCCTGAAGTGGCCTCAAGAGCAGTGACGAAGGCGAGCGAGTTCAGCGGGGTCTTCTTAACCGAGCGGGCGAACTCCACATCAAAGACGGGTAGATCGAGGATCCTCGAAACCCAGCGATCGGTCTGCTCAGCCATGTGTTCGAGCCCGGTCCGTCTTTGAGCCTCAACACTAAAGGTTGAGAAACCTTGTTAGGACCATGCCCTTCGCGGGCTCAAAGGTTCTTTGGTTGCCCGCTCACCCACCCAGGGTTGCACGAACGTGAACACTACTGAAACGACAAAGCGACAGCGAATTCAAACGAACGTGCAACACTCCGAGAACAGGCACAAGGACATGAACTGATGATTAATCCATGAAAATTAAAATACATAATCTGAACAACACTCAAATAAACAAACAGAACTAGATCAGGGAACCCCATCAGGCCACGAAAGGGCAGGCTCCCTGTAGTCGAATGCTACAAGTGCGAGCACACCCTCGGGCGAGCGGGCCCCTGAGTTCCCACAACCCACACCGCACTGGGGGATCTGACCTCGCGCGAAAGGCAGTGCCAGACAATGCGGCGTTGCCCGATCGGCGTGATCCGGTGTGGTTGCACTCACTGAACTGAATGATCTAAATGATATGAACAATAAACTGTTCTCAGTTTCTGAACGCACAGCTGCCCTTCGCGGAAAAATTTTTCAGCTGTACGGATTCCAAGCGAGTGGTGATCACCTCTCGCTAATTTGAGTCATTCAAAAAGGATCCAGATCACACATCTGTCTGCGGATCCGGCTTTGGAGGAGCAAAAGATCTGGGCCCGGTGCCGCTCGACTGATCAGGCAACTCAACCACCTCTTGGATCCGGACTCTTGAAGGTTCGTTCCATGCATTGGGCGGTGGTGCCTTGCGAGCAGCTTTGACGAAAGCTTGGGGCGTCATCGCCGAGCAATCCATGCCCTCAGATCTCCTCTGCTCCAGCGAGCGTCGTGATGGCGCTAGAGCACCTCCTGACCAAGAACTCGGCGGCGGTGCCTTTCCCGGCGCTGTCACCGATGGCTTCACATTGCTGATCGGCATGGCTGAAAAAGCATCGACCGGAGTGGGCCCCACCAATGCCGGCGGTAGCTGCCTTTGGCTGCGCCGAAGGGCCATCAACGATCGGAGGCACGATGCCAGCGACCACTTCATCGAGCGGGTCATGGCTCTGCAAGGCCAAGGCCTCAGCGTTCACGATCACACGCTCCATCTTGAACAGAGGGCTCTCCGAGACGAGGTGCACGTTGATCGGGTTGCTCTCCACTGCGATGGCAGAGATGCGAGGACCTGTCTCCTCCTCGGTCGGCGCCTCAATCTTTGATGTCCAATTGGCATGAACAGCCGCCAGCTGAGCCAGCTGCAGCTGTTGATCAGGACACTCAACTCGGGCACCATGATCACGACACCATCGAGCGTTTCGGATCAATGTCGGACCCGAAATTCGGCTGAAAACCAGCCACCTGGGTGGCACCATGGCCGTGCTGGCCGACATGTCAAGGCGATCGCCAGCTGATAGGAATCTGGTCTCCAGACGATCTGCATCGGCGCCGAAAGAGTCAGGGGACGCCGTCGCTACGAACCGAAGTTCGAAGTGGCATAGTGGATAATCCAGAGCCACAACAATACCTCCGTCCGAACATGCGTAAAGGCGACCGCCAACTTCCCACGACACTGCGACCACTCTCCAGCCCTGAAAGATGGTGACGACCACGCTCGGGATGAACACCGTGTCCGCCAATACCTCCTGGATCGTGTCGGCGATATGCCACAACTGGACCGAGAGGTCAGAATCAGAGCGATAGCCCCTGAGCTCAAGGTGCACCAGAACATGGCCTTCCAGCTTTACCTTCACGTCCATCCATGAAGGGCTCGAATCAGTCATAGCCGGCCATCTAAATGGCTGAAAAGCCGCATGCGACAGCACTTCTCCCGTGGCAGCATCCCAGCGAGCGCATGGCACGTGAGAGTAGCATGTCATCGAACCAGTCACAATGACCTTGACTGAATCTAGAGTCTTCACCATGAAGAGGTTGAAGTGGTATCCACTGGATGGCGAGCGCACCAAATGTCGATCAGACTTCAGGTTGACAAAACTCAGGGCATTGGTCAACACCTCATCGAGCAGCCAATTCTGGAATGGCGACTGGATCCTTTTGTCCCTGTTGTCAATGATCAGGATGGAGCGCTCACCCTCTGCTGAACCAATCTGTGAAAGATGATCAGGCAGCTGAGAGTTCAGTGGGTTGTGGGCGAGATTGCCCATGTTCCCCCATCGAAAAGCTCTTCTTCCTCTCCGAGCGGCTTGCTCCTGTTGACGTCTCAGCCTCCTTGAGGCAGGTGTGTCATGAGCATGGTCAACAAATGACTGAGCAGCTTGCAAGACTGGAGCGGCAGGAGCTGACGGTGGAAACACTGTAGGAGGAGGGGGTGGCACATCACTTGATGAAGCACCTTGGGGTGCAGGGTCCGCCTGAGTGGGAACATCATTCTCAGGCACGGTCGGCATGGTCGAAGCCGGTTCCTCCTGGCGATGGCCATCCCCCTCAAGATCAACCCAAGAGCCAGATGAAGAACCATCGTCCCAGCGCGATGAGGCATTGAGCATCTGCCGAGCGAAGGCTGCTGGGATCCGGCTCTCAGACATTGCGGCGAACACCCAGGCCTAAGAGAAAAGCCTCAACGTGCTTAAACCTGGCGTTCGCCGCACGTCTTGAGCCAAAATGGCAGCGTCGTACGACGAGTGATATATTGAACAAGGAAACTGAACAGCTTGCTATTTAAGTGGCTTCCATGTTCCAGCCAACCTACCGACAACAAGGAACCCAGATCAACCAACAACCCTTGTTGCCGGTGGCATGGCAAGGAAGGAAAGGGTTGTGGCCATTTTTTGGACGTCAAGTCGCTGCCCCCACATCCTACAAATTGGTGTGGGCAGCAACCAACATTCCTGCAAAAATGATGACTTCCAGCATCTTGCAGCACCCTGCTAGGCTACAATAATTCCAGTAGGTTCGTTTCTCACAAGTCTTTTGAGCTGTGGGTGTTCCAGTATTGTTTCATTCTATTTCGGCATGATGTGGAGGGGCGGGACTCCAAGTGTCCAACTGTGCTCATGCAAATGGGATCTTGACACAAGCTGCGCAAATGCAATAGAATAAAACGAGCAGATTCCCTAAACATCTAGGAATCAAATCATTAGTGCGAGCGCTTCTTCAAGCATCTCCCCCCTCACCCTCAGGCTATCTTACGTCCAGTTGCTAGGAGCTTACACCCATACTGGATTATATAAGTAGCTTAGTAGGTAGTCTCTACTTAATTGGCTCTCCACCTTTGGCCGTGCCGAGCCACGCACGACCGATTGGGAGGCGCTGTGGTCCACATCTTCCGCCTCCAAACAAGCTCCATGTTGCCTAACCACATGATCCATCTGGTCACCTGCCTTACTTATCCAAAGGTTTGAGGGCTGGTGTGTCTTCAATCCGTCGAGCCTCCTTCCGCTTTGCTTGCCGCGACCTGGGGTCCGCGGGAAGGTCGGCGCGTGGGAAAATCACGAACAACCCAAAGCACCTCAAGTTCGTCAGATCCTGCACGTCAATTTGGTGGCTTTCGTGTGTCTTACAGCTGCATGCTGGGTCATCTGATCACGCCAACAACACGTTGAGAGAATTTACGATCAAGCTTTATGATATTGAGCCAAGCAGCAGGCAGTAGTTCTTACAAGGATTCGGCACTTCAACCTGTTCTTCACAGGAGATGCGAGCTTCCCTTCTTCCAAGGCACGCATCTGATCGCCCGGCAGCTGTGAGGCGGCCTTAGCATGATCGAAAAAAGGCCAATGGGAAGAAGCGACAGGGTGCAAAGAACGCTTCCCAATCCATGAATGGCACACTTCCCTACATTGAGGTGATTCGGGGGGTCAGTGCAGTTAAACATTCCCACGCAAGAATTGGGAGAGATCGGACCGTATCTGCGAATGCGAACTAAAGCCCCTGCAAATGGCAACTATAGCAAGTATGGTGGTTCCTAGCGCAAAAGAGTGGATTAGATTTTGCGCTCTGTGTCAAAAACCATGCAAACTGGCCAAAAGGCTGTACGGCGAATGGCCAAGTGACGGTTAAGCACGGTGTGGGTCACCTGATCTCTGCTGCGAGTGTCAGCCGCCGCGATCGACATATCCTGAGGCTTCTGCAGCGGAGTGGAGGAGCTGTCGCCTACGGGGAAAATACAAGTTCCAAACAACAACAGGTCACCTGCCATAGATTGGTCCACAAAATCATTGAAAAGGAACCGTCGGAGGCATCGGGCAGCTATTTTTTGACGCCTTATGTCAGACCACTGCATTCTTGAACTTTACAGCAGTCTCAGCCTGTCCACAGAGCTGGAAACGGATTTCGGTCCTTCAGGGGCATCAGCTTGGTGGCGCCTGACCCACCAGCGGACGAGCAACTTGTGGCCGAAGTTGATGAGTTGAATGGTTGAAACCTGACAATCCTAACATCTTCCTTAAATATGGCTCACTTACATGATGGGTTGAACATACTGCGCAAAATCCACAATAGAGAGCCAGGGGGCGTGTCACAAGTCCCAGCTTCTGGAGAAGACTCCGCCACTTGGCTGGTTTGACCACTGTCTCTTTCATTCTGAACATCACTGCGTGGATGGCTTTAAAGGCCCTCCACAACCTAACTCAATGTGAACAACATAACACACTCAAGAAACAACGGAAACACCCCCTGTTTGGGGGCATGACTTCCACTTTCATGTATTCATCAGCCATTGGGACCAATCATTCCAGTAAATAAAATAATCCGTTGACACCACCAGTCGTTCCCACTCTGGGATGATTGTTTATACAGCGCCTGGCTCCTCAAGCAATAAAACGAATGGCCATGGGAGGGCAGAAACAAACGGTTCGTTTCTGTTTTTTCACGTTGGGTGGGTTTCTTGGCCTCGGTGAGCCGAGGCTGGACGCTTAGAGGACCAGGGACGCCTGCCAGACAACATGCGGTTCAAGTGCATCGAGTAGAGGCTGTGTCCAAAAAGGGTGGACATGTAAACCCACCAAGGAACACACCTTCCTTGTCACAGGCAACAAAAAAGAAGTATGCAAAGAACAAGTGATAGGTTGAGAAGCAAAAGCTCAAGCTTGGACAACAGCATTTGCAAGCTTGATATAAAGGCGGCCTTTTCTTCTGAGAAAGAACAATGACCCAAGGTCTGTCAGTCCAGGCAAAATCTGCTTGACCAAGGACAGACTTGGAGCGACATTTCGTCAGCAAATATTCAAAGTTTCACCCTGCCAATCCCACGAGGCCATGAAACTGAAATCAATCCTCTGAAATTCTACAACCACTGCTGGACATGGTGGAGGACCTGCCAATCGGCGAACTCGGATTCAATGTAGAGAAGCATTCTTGAAAGAGTTTCCAGTGCAAGGCGATGAAAACACAATGGCTTTCTCATTGCTTCTGGACCTCCACGCCTCTGCAAAAGCTCTTGGCAGTCTCCAGGGATGCGAGGAGTGTGCGGTCGATCAAGTGGCCTTAGAAACAAAACCAGCCATCTTTTGTGCATCATTCTGAAAGAGGCAGTTGAAGTTTCCCTAAAAATCTAGGAACCAAATCATTAATGCGAGTGTGAGCTATCCTGCGTCCAGTAGGTAGTAGCTTACTTAAGCTGCTACTAGCTACCTCCCTTCTACTGGCTACCTGGACCTACTGTGGGCCATGGAATCCGGGCCGTCCCTCTCAGATCGGCCACTTGGGCCGCGTGGTGCCGAGGAGCTGGAGCCCCTCGTGGTAGCCGTTTGCTGGGCCTCCGAAGGATGCCGTTCGAAGCAGTGCACGGTGTGAGGCAAAAAGCGATGCCCTTTGCTCTTAGTAGCAAAGCCAGGAGCCCCGATCGTAGCGTCCTCGCAGAAGTATGCCAGAAGAAAAAGGCTCAATCAATCTCAAAGGCCCAAAGACCATTGGGCAGCAACCGCACAACAAATGTTCACATCCTTAATCATGCACTCGGACATCTTTCAACCAATGGTGTGAAATACTTATTTCCTCAGCTTTAGATGCGCTGCTGGTCCACCATGCCCACGGTTTCACTTCTTTCCAAGCATATCCACCTTCCCCACGAAGGGGTTGACAAACTCCCTGTAGTTCTTTTGGATCCCCTTTTAGTAGTGAACATCATGCCCCCAGCTCCTTTGTTTCCTCCAAACCTGGAAGCTAGTCAGGCTTCTGGACACCAAAAAGAGCCAAGGCGGGATGATCCCAACAAACAATACAAACAACCCGATCTTAATTCTTAATCCCAACAACTAGTAAGACCTTACTTTTTGCCAGCAAAATTGCCTTCCTGATGGTGAGGGTCCTGAGGGACAAGCTCTGCCCACCTAGGCTCGTACTTGTTACCGTACTGAAAGGCGTCTTAGTCATCAAAGTGGAGGCGGATGCTGAAATTCAGCGAACCAATTTGCTGCAATTCTTTCGGACCCATCAGAACCTGAAGTCCAGGTGATCATGGCTGAATGACCCACTTTGTGGTGTTCAGACCAGCTTACAGGCTTACGCCGCTTACGCTGGAACGTATACCAATTCATCCCATTTTGCTTTACGTCCGTCTTGGCCCACATGTTCCTTGATGTTACTCACCGACCCACCAAGCCACCTGTTTGGTGCCAGCCCAGCCTCGGTAATGATCAGGCTCTTGCGTGGCCTGGCCCGCACCGAGCCCCTCGGGCAAGGACGGGCGGCATCCTGGCCGAGGTTGAAGATGATGTGTCAGCAAGTTTCTTCAAAATTGGACAGTTCAGCGCCCAACATACCTAGAATATTGGAACCACTGTAGGTGCCAACACGCCTTCTATTCCGAACTGATGCAGGGTGGTCTATGAAATCCTGGAAGTAGTAGCATTCCGCTGGAAGTCTAATGGTATATGACCAGGATTTGGTGTTGCGGGGTGACAATTTAAAAGCATTGTGGCTACCAGGAAGGATGCTGCTGTCTGGGAAAACCTTCCATATAAATGCCCGCAACAAAGCCAAAGAACATGCTGTCATTGGCCAATCCCATCTACACCCAACTTGTTGCCAAGGGCTGCATGGTCCTCCCTCCCCCTGCAAGAAGAGGGATACAATTCCAAACGTGTTGTGGGTGTGGCCGCGCCTTGTGGAATTGATCTGGTTGTCCACTGGCTCAAAAACCATACCCCTCCCCCCAATCAACGTAGCTCCAAACCATGAGAGACAAGGATATTGAAGTTAAAAGTTTGCACGCTGGAGTTTGAATGAGTGGAGACTTGCTGCCTCCAAAAAGCACTCGCAGCATTCATCGACACTTTTTGGCATTTTCAGCCACCTTGCTGTTCAGAACGGTTCTGTGAGCTATCCTGCGTCCTGCCTAGAAGCTAACTTAGCCTAGTAGCTTACTCTCCCTAGCCTTAAAGTAAGCGCCCATTTGTTTAAGTAGGAGCGCCCTTTGTTACTAGTAGCGTTCTTGCTCCAAGTGTCGTCTCCTATCCTGGTCTCCGATCCGCTTCTGTTCCGTCCACTCGTCCTGTCCCCGGTCGTCCTGTCTCTGCTTGTCGCCGAAGCTCTTGGATCCGCCGCAGCCTCAGCCCGTGGCAAAAGCGAGGTGAGACCCGCGGGCTTTGCTGCATATACTTAAAAGAGGTCACTATTGCCAGTTTCCTTCCACAAAGGCTTGCCAACTCTGAAGGTTGCATGGGTGTGTAGCATCAAACTAGAGTTCAGTGGGATTGCTGTTGAGCGGCGCTGCGGCAGAGCCAGCCTCTCGGTTCGAAGAGGGTGCCTCAACCGACAAAGCAGAACGCGTCTTCGACTTCTATCAAACCATTTTCTTAGTGCCTGAGACAAAGATTATCCAAGTATCGTTACGCCAACTCAAGCGAGCACAAACACGCCTTTTCTGATGCCTCATCTTCATCATCTTCTGATGTCCAGAGTATGATAGTTAGGGCCTGTCGTTGATCTTAAGGTTGAGTAATGCAGTAATGCATCTTTTCTCAAAAGGTCCTCACAAATTTGGAGCTTTCCAATCTTTGCTTTGCTCCCATAATGTAAAAGTTCTCAAACGATCAAGAAAGTTGACATTGACATGCCAAGCCTTCTCGATGACACGGTCAGCCGAAATGACCTGAGTGTGCCGAGTTCAATCTTGTGTGGAAGGTTCGTGGTGACCCCATTCGACCATTTTCCTGTCTAAATCCTAAGTGGAGCGCTCCCACTGGCGGTGAAATGCAAGGGTCTTTGATCACCCTGGCCTGTCAGATCTTTGACATGCCAATGGCGAGAGCAATGATGACCACCAGCACTACAATGGGGAAACATCCACATCGAGCAATAGCGATGCAAAAGCGTCGATGGCAACAGCAGAAAGTGCAACAGCAACTGCAGCTGCAAAAGCGCATCCTTGGCGACCCTATCAGAAGGAGCTGGCAGAGCATTGCCCGGTGATATCACACTCCTTTAGCAAAACATGCGGGGTTCCAATCGCCCTTCCTTCATCCTGGTGGAAAGAACACCTTGAATCACAGTTGTCCCCGACCACTTGGCGTTCAGCTATTTGGCTCATCCATTCGTTGGTTCAACATGAACTCCCTACATTCAAAGGCTGATGAACTATCTTCCACCGCTCTTGATGCGTTTCTCCTTGTTGCCGATCGGGTGTAAATAGAGATGCATGAACAGCGCTGAAAAAACACGCTTTACCATGCTTTCCCTCCAAAATCCTTGGTGCAGGAATCCCACAGACCGTCTTTGTAGGCAATTAGTGGTTCCAGAGACCGTCTTATTGTGGAAATATGTTCGAGACAAAATGCTCAAATCATTTCCGGATAATTTTAGAGAGGCGCCAACAGCAGTAATTAGTTAACATAGGGAGATCTACCAAAGACCCTCTGGAAGAAGGGACATGGACCAAAAGTGCTTTCTCCTCACATGGTTCGGCTGCTTGTCAAGTGTGGCAGCAATAATAGCAGCGGCCGGGCTGAGGGCACTGCGCTGTCCACATCATCCTCTTCTCCCACATCCTCAGTGATTCATGCAGTGACCAATTGCATGACTGACCGCAAATCTACTTTATCGCGACCCTATCGGGAGTGACATAGCACCCAGTTGGGAACAAAATTTGAGGAGGGTGTCTAATTGCCAAATGTCTATATTTGTTTCAGTGAGGGCAACTTCGGAGTCGATGCACCAGTAGAAGTGCTACACTGAGCTGGCAGCTGGCCATATCCACCATGTTTTCCAAGGAAATTCTTGCTTTGGACCAACCATTTCAACCAGAAAAGGCCAACATCACAAGGTTTCTACGTGTTCCCCACGTATTGCAGAGTTGCACCATGCTAATCGAAGTGCCGCGCTGGGATTTCAAGCCAAGACACCCAAACCTGCACGAAGGGTGGCACGGAAAGAAGCTCTTTACAGGACGGCCGCTTGTTCCGGTTCTGCGACCTCGCATTCGTCTGTTGGATCTGTTTCTTCCTCTTCAGACTTAAAATCAGCGATGCAAGCCTAAATTCCTCCGGTATGACTACTCGTAGAACTTCATGAATAATTAATCATGACCAAAGAGCTGAGCTTAATGAAGCGAGACGTAGCCCCGGGGCAGGAAACCGAACTGCCATCCACCGGAGTAGCGCTTTCGACCCAAACCAACAAAACTGGAATGCACGAAACGACGCACATCACGGCCATAGTCTAGCATGTGGTTAGGACATTTCCTACAACTCCACCTTTGCTCCGGCCTCAGGGGCAAACAGGGCTTCGCGGCCCTCGTAAACTTGAATGACATAGAGTGAAACCCCACAGGGATCAGGTAAAGCGACTTGATCCAGTTGTTCTCAGCAAGTGGCATCAGTGCACCATAGACCTCTGCCATCGAAGTGCTGAAGCGACTGGGCAGTGGTGGCGCTCGCTGCCGGGCGATCGACTGAAGGAGCTCTTGCAGGGTGGGTGCCTCGGAGTGGTGTGGAGGTCATCGCTACTAGGGTGGAGGCCATCGCTATTGGGTTGGAGGCCATCACCATTAGAAACAAAGAAAAGATTGAAGAAAGAGAAGTCTAATCATTCAACTTTGAATATACAGCTACTAGTAACAAGAAGCTACGAACGGGGCTCCTGGCATCGCTACTAGGAGCAAGGACGCTACGAATGGGGCTGCCGTACTACTCGGAGCAATGTTTGCTACCAGTAACAGGTGCCTCGCTAGTAGTAACAAGAAGCTACTAGTAACAAGTGCCTCGCTAGTAGTAACAGGTGCCTTACTAGTAGTAACAAGGACGCTACTAGGAACAA